GCAATCCTCATTCACATCCTCCTCCTCCTCCTCCTCCCCCTCCTCCTCCTCCTCCTCCTGCTCCTGCTCCCGCTCCTGCTCCTACTCCTACTCCTCCCCTCCTTCCCCCGATCCTCCTGCATCTGTCCTTCCTACCAATCAGGATCACGCTCAGCAAGATGACTACGATTCGCCGTACTGTCAAGACTTCGAGTGCGACATAGCGTAAGAGACGAGCACAAATCAAATCCGTACTGAGTAGCCGGCTACCCTTGACCACAAGGCGTGCGTGCATGCTCCATCGACGGACAAAGATTTGAAGGAGCAGATTCGTGGAAGTTTCGGGTAGCTCAGGGCAGAATTGGGCCGAAATAACCCCAATCCATTAAATCATTAAATCGACGCGAATGCAACCATGCGAAGAATAAGCCCAAACCTTTACATGCCTGAGATCCTCAACCCAGTAATTATTCTAAACTGTAAGCTGTGTGCTGAGGTGCGCACAGATGCTGCTGCGGCGGGGGCAGTGCTGGGGGCAGTGGCCAAGGCTTGCCCAATACCCGAGACTTTGTACTACACTCCCTGCCTTAATCCCCAGGCTGGCAGGTGGCAGCTGGTTCTCTGCTTGATGGCTTCCATGGAAGCATCGACCCCCGGTGAAGAGAGAACAAGAAGCGTCTTCTTTCCTGAATTGAGATCTTCATGGGCTATGAACATAGACCTGACGGTACCGGAGTTGAGGGTCCAGGGTATTCTGGAGGGCGCCTGGCATCATGTTTGCAAGTTGCTCTCCGATCAAGAGTTTTTCTCTGCGGAGTGTGGGTAGAGTCTGGCTTTGGCGCTAAGCTGTTCCATCGCATCTCGTTCAGAATTGGCTCGAAGGATCTTAAACAAAGCCTCTGCTGAGCTTTCTCTCCTGCAGTTTATGTAAGGGGTTTCGGGATTTTTCAGGTAGCGTTACGGTGCAAATTCAGGACCTCAGCAAGCCTGGAAAATGAAAAGGCGACATCCTTAAACCGTATGTCACTTAGCCTGAGACCATTGAGTCTTTCAACTTCCAAGATCGAACAGCTCCTCTTCAGCAGCAGAACGAGTTCAGGTCTAGGGTTTATAGGGTTTGGGCTCAACAAGTTAACCCTAAACCCTAAACTCTATATAACCCCTAAGCCCTCTAAACCCTAAACCCTAAACCCTATAACTAAACCACCAAGAGCCCAGGATGCTGCGTCCTACAGCCGCGAGCCTTTCAGCAGCACTGCTTCTCTCTGCTTCTGAGCCTCTTCAGTTTGTTCAGGAATCAGGCATAGCTCGAGTACACAGTTCGGGATCTGGGCCTTAGGATTTTGGGAGGCTGTTGCCTGATAAAGCCGAAGATCTGCTGGGATCAATATAATAATTACTTACAGTTTGGATCAGAGTCGACTTGCCTTGAGTTCATTGCGCTCTGTGCTTTTTGCGTAGGGCTGGCACTCCCATGTTCAGAGGCGAGCCTCCAAAGTCCGATTGCTGGCAAAAGACTTGAGCCATCCACCAATGTGGAGAACAGAACAGACCGCTTGGCAACTGTTGAACTGACACGGACGAGGCAAACACAACAGTGCCTGTAGCTACGAGGTTTTGCACGGGAGAAGAGCTGGAATGCGTTGAAGCCTCGTTCCTGTGCCCCGGATACTCAGCTCTCCTAGGTCCCCTCCACAACAGTCCTCGGCTTCAGAAATCATAATGACGGGTCCAGGTGTTCGGCACTTTGGGCCCAGATCACGACGTGAAGCCCAAGCTAGCAGCTAGTACGGCTCAGACCGCAACAAAGGTATGCGGAATTCGACCATCCAAAACACCAACACCACAATGCCGAATTGATTTGTGTTTGTGGTCTCTGATTTCAGGCTGCACCGCCTTGATAAGTGCATGTGGGCATCTTGGCCTATCCAGCTGGGTGCGGCCTTCTTTGATCTACTTGGGGCTCACCTAAATTCAATGCTACCCCGCCAGGGGTTTCTAGGACCGAAGCACGGACCCCAAATGCCTAAACCTCGCCAAAGGACTGCTCCCCACCCCAGGTGACAACCCGGAAAATCCCAAGATCAACCAACTGGGGTTTGGGTTTAGGACCCTAAACCCTGAACCCCAAAACCCTAAACCCTAAAACCCTAAAACCTTAAACTCTAAACCCTCAACCCTGAAACCCCAAACCCTAGCACCCTAAAGCCTATGCTATAGGGTTTAGGGGTTTAGGGCTTAGGGTTGAGGGCCCTATACCCTAAACCCTAAACCTAGCCTGCCTTCAGCACAGAGCCATTCCCAAAAGGAGTTGGAGAGTCGGGACCTTAACAGTGCTTCGAACCAAGCTCCACCCCCAAGCGGGGGTGGTTCGACAAAATGGTCGTTTTCGATGGGGGAGGGAGGCGGGGGGGGCTCCCCATTGTATGGAGAAAAGATCTTGATATGGGGCCCGACCTGAAGTCCGCACAGCCTCCAAGCTCACGAGCCCGACATCCGAAGTAAGCTCCCCAAACTCCAATTCCCAAGCCACCGGATGAACATCAAGGGTTTGGGGTTTTGAAAACCCTTAAATCGAATCGAAAGCTCTGGAGGCGTGCTTCGGACTGGGCGTCAGGCCTCGCAGCTTTCCGAGAGATGCCAACGAGGTGGCACTGCCGCAGAGATCTGAGGTTTTCAACTTCACGGGTTTCAGTCTTATGATGCTTCTTGAAGGGTGCAAAGTACCGTCATGTACTTCTTCAATGCTCTGCTGCGCGCACACGCCACAGGCTTGTGCGGCAGGATGTCCTGGCCTACAATGCCGCCGCTTGGACGGCAGCTTGTTCCCTAGAAAGCTTGAGACGCCTGAAGCACTCTCCGAAGGGCTGTGCGCATGTCTATAGGCTATGGGGCTTCAGCAGGGTTCTTGGGTTTGCACTTGGGGTTTATGTCCCTGGAGTCCATGGCGTTCTAGCTTGAGATACGCGTGATGAATTTCTCAAGCAGTCTGAGGACAGCTCCCGTGAAGGCTTCAAAATGAGTCGCAATGTTTCAACTTTGACCTTCCCTTTACACGATCAACTCCTTTCTGAAAGTCCCATGTAGAAGCCTGGTCGAAGCAGTGATTGTCGTCATCGGCCTAATCCACACAATGCGAGTGAGTAGTGGTCGGTATTGCACAATACGTGTTACTCTTTTACATGCGCTCAAGGCTATGGACTGCTGCCGTGCCGATGGACACTGGCAGGAGCGATGGTTCGGTTCTGTTTTTCAAGTAGAAAATCTCAACATGGCTTGATGTCGTTTAATTTGTCCCGCACTACAAACAAAAACGTTAGAGCAATGACCTTCAAAAAGGATTGCGTGTGCTGCGCCCCATCCCTAATGGACAGCTAACCGTTATGATGGAATGTAAATCCAAGTAGCAGGCGGGAACTCGGTATCCTTAAAAGAAAATCTATTCGATACCTCGTTAAAGTCTCTCAAAATTGACAAAACTGATACCTAAGTCTTAATGAAGCTACAACACTAGAAGCTAATGTCACGGACATCAGAAAGAAGCCCAGACGAACCGAAAACCCCTCAGCACTGCTCAGGCCTAAGAAGCCGAAGGAAGCCGCCAGACTCAAGTGTCAAGTGAAGCCCTGAGCCCACCGCAATCCGACCACTCTGAGCAAATAAAGCAACACTATAACCCCCTTCCCCCCCCCCCCAATGACACTGAGAGACCGGGTTCACATCGAAGCCACTGGGATCCTCTTGTCAGGAGGCTCTGTCGCTCTTTTCGGAAATCTCCATCCTGAGCCTGGAGCCCTCGGCTGGAAGCCGCTTGCTGGCCAAAGCGCCTCGAGATTCGAGATGTTGAGAGATGCTTGCAAGAATCCCTGGAACCCTTGGAGGCAGCTTTTGCGACTGCCTCATTGCAGTTGTGCTGCCCCTAACACATCACGTCGATCATTCCCGCATAGCAGAGGTGAGCAATTACGCTCCCCTGCTCCCCAACGAAACCATAAAGCAGCTAGGCCATGGGCAGTTCATGCCTTCACCTTCAGCCCAAACCCAGGTGTCACCACTTTGCTGTCAGTCTGCCGAAGTGGCCGAGCCTGGCAGCAGGCGCGAAGGATCTTCGACAAAGCGTCCGTGGTTCGGACGTTTGTTTGGCAGTATGTCATTACAATCCGTGCACAGATTAGAGGTCATGGGTCCACGGCTGTCGGTTTGATTGTGTTGAGGGTTAGGGTCAAGTGGCGCTGCTCAAGTTTTCAGAGCCTTACACTATAGGCTTGTCCTGTCTAAGTTGAGGGCCACCCTAAACAAGACAACGGTCAGTCAAACTGCAAAGACAGTCGAGTGTTCAGGCGTTGGCCCTCGCACCGCTGGCTGCAGCCGACTACGGTCCCTTGTATGAATTCGCAATTCGTTGGGGCGAAGGTTGGGAGAGTCGCTCGTAATTGTTTGTTGTGGGACAGTAACTAGGGTTTTTCTTGAACTGCGATCTCAATGAGACTACTATAGCAGCTCGCGCAGATTCGTGTTTGCGGATTTGTTTCCTTGAGCTTGCCACTGAGGGTTTGAATGTAGTCCTGGGGTTCGCAGCGACAAAGGTACGTACCCAAGTCGCGACAGGCCTAGCACTTTTTTAGGAACTATGCAGAAGTGCGATGTCACGGGAAGGTTTCCGACATGAATGGTGCCGCAAGGTAGTGACATTCGCCTGCTCGCTTTCGTGTTCTGACGGTGAAAGGCCCTGCAGCCTTGGCTCACTCTTGAAGCCGAAGCCTGTACTTTCCAGACCCGAAAAGTGTAGGGGTTGGGGAAGCCTTATCAGCCTAAACCCCATGAGCGAAGCCGTCAACCCCAAGCCCAAACATCAAATCCTTCCGACCCAAAAACATCTGCAAAATGCCACACCTAAACCTTATAGCTCTGAGACCCGTGGACCGAAGCTTGAAACCCTGAGCCTTTAACCTCAAGCCCCATCTCAAGTTTTAGAGATTCTAGAGCAAAGAAGCCGTAGAGAGTTCGACACACCGGCCGCCATGGCTGTGACCATTGAGATCTCCCTTCTCAGCGGCCGTCGGGCACTGGTCCGGGCCCGCTTAGACGACACCTGGCAGTTCTGGGTTTCAGGGCTTACTGTTGAGCTGTGCTTGGTCTTGATAGCATGCTTGCAGTGAAGCTTGTGCAGTTTTCGTGCTATGACGAAAGTAGAGCCAGAACCTCATACCAACTTCTGCTCGCTGTCTCAAAGGTTTGGGCTAGATGTCGGGTAAGCAACTCGAATGCTGGCGAAGGGAACTTCCGGTGTGTGGGCTTCATGGTCACAGTTGTAGCATCCCAGAAACATATCAACAACAGCCTGTGTCGTAGCAAGACGTAGTTGAAGAGCACGAAGAATGACGGTACTGGAAGCAAGCACAAGTGGGGGCAGTAATAGTATTAAGTTTCAGGCTCCTGTTCCTTCTCACGGCCACAGGGAGCTGTGAGGTTGCGTGGTTCCTGGACAGCCTCTGCGCCTTGTCCCTCCGAACTAAGAGGCATGTTAGGCCATTTGTTGCCTACTGGAATGGGAAACTAAGGACACCGTCAATGAGCTTCGGAAAAGTGCTGAGAGGCAGCTGGGACTGGATCTTGGCGTACTGCTCACAGAGGCCTGACAACGTGAAGTTCAGGGTTCAGAGCCATATCCCGGTAAACCCCAGACCTTGAACTCTAAACTGAAAGCCCCAGCCCCAGACCCCATAAACCCTGCACCACACCCTAAACCCTAAACCCTATACACCCTAAACCCTAAACCCTATGAAGCCTGTCTTATACACCCTCTCCGTAAAGAGGACGGTCGCGAACTGATGGGCTTCGGCACCCTCCGGGAAGCTGGGTTCTCTGAGGGCGGTCGTGTCAGCGGCACCGTGCGAAGGACGGAGCTGATCTCCGCGCAGCTCCGATGGTAACAGGGGTCCTTGGGGGTTCCTGTGGATCTGGGGATGTCTTTTTGGGGTTTAGGGGGGTTAATTTGGGGTACAGGGTTTAGGGGAGTAGGGGGAGTAGTTTAGGGCGCGCTTACCTTGAATCTTGAGCTTCGGATTAGGTTGAACGGTTGATGGGGCGAAGGGGTTTCCGTCTACATTCACGAAACCCGAAACTCCTCTAAACTTTAAACCCTACACTGTTATGAACGATCCAGTTCAGCTGTGATGAACGATCCGGTTCAGGGAAGTGTTTTGGCATTCCCCAGGTACGGCTGCCTGCAGCGCAGCGGGGACGCTTGGCCTCTGGATCTCCTGTGGGAGCTGGAGGCCAAGTCTGGGAGTGAGGCTAGGAGGGCTTTGAGGGGGTTTTAAAGGGCTCTGTGGTATTCTGAAGGCTATAATAAGGAGCTTAGGATTATGTGTTTTGAGTTTAGGAATAGGGGATTTAGGGGACCTTTACCCTAACCCCCCAGGTACCTACTGTATAGGGTACTAGAGCCCCTAAGGCCCTATATAGTCGGTACCTGGAGGGTTAGGGTTAGGGTTGCAAGATTTAGGCTTTCCGGCTTTGCAGGCCTTTGCGGCGCTTCGGCCAGATGGCAGGGTGATCACATGGGGAGACCCTGGATGCGGGGGTGACAGCAGTCTGGTGCTTGGGTTCCCCCACAGTTTCTTCCGTTTTCCCTTTTTTGTTTCCGTGAAATATCCTTTCGAAGCCTGGCTTTTAAGGGGGGCGCGGGCGGAACTTAGGTTCAGGACAGATTGGTCGGAGTGCAAAGCATCAGCGCAGCATCGCGGGCATTTGCCGCTCTTCGCTCAGATGGGGCTGTGGTGACGTGGGGCGATCCCACTTATGGTGGAGACAGCGGGCCTGTGCAGAAGCAGCTGTGTAGGGTCAAAAGCATCCATGCAGCAGCCTACGCTTTTGCGGCTGTCCGAATGGACGGCGCTGCGGTCGCCTGGGGCGAACATCGCTACGGTGGAGACTGCAGCGCCGTGCAACATCGGCTCTCAGACGTTGTTGATGTGCGAAACACTGCACATGCTTTCGCCGCTTTACTCGCAAATGGGCGAGTAATTACCTGGGGTGCAACAGCAAGCGGTGGCAACAGCGATGCTGTGCAGGCAGACCTGCGGAATGTAATACGCATTCATGCAACAGTCTTTGCCTTCGCTGCACTGCGGCGTGACGGCTCCGTGGTGACTTGGGGAGAGCCGGAGTACGGGGGCGACAGCCGCACAGTTCAGCATCTTCTAACCGATGTCTCCGAAATCCGTGCTACGGCGCGGGCGTTTGCTGCTGTCCGCAAAGATGGAGTTGTGGTTGCTTGGGGCCACAATCTTTACGGAGGCGGAATCCAAACTTGGACATGCATCGTTATTGCAGGTAAAGGATTATCATTCAGATTAATTATGTTGTGGGCTTGAGGCATCTCGCGCCGCTCGCGTCTTTATCATGAAGTGTGTCACCAACTTCTTTGGGAAGTCTTCGGTGGTGGGAAGCACAAGACACGCTATGACCGCTATGACTAGAAATAGTGCTAGTCTAGATACAGTCTTTTGACGCCCGAAGACACACATGATCTAAAGTTGTCCAGGTGACTACAGTGCTGTTGCTGGGCATCTTCAAGACGTCCGGCAGCTGTATGCTAGCGCCGCAGCCTTCGCAGCACTTTGCTGGGATGGGTCGGTGCCTGGAACTGAGTTATATTACAAACTGAGGGAACTGCTGACATGTGCAAGCTCGCAAAAGGCGATCAATAGACCCCAAGATGCTTCTGCCTTCTGGCTCGCCTTGGCTTCATATTATGGGATCCTAACCACAAAATAGGTTGTCCAAGATAGACGTATAAGTTCTAGGGGCTAGGAAGCCTAGGAAGTGTGGTTGCAGATGATTGTGTTGTAGGAACCTCCGGGGACCTTCGCAACCTGCAGGTGGTGACTTGGGGTGAAGCAGAGTCTGGTGGCACCAGTGCAGCTGTGCAGCATCAGCTTCGCGAGATTCAGCAGATCCACGTTGCCGTGCATGCGTTTGCTGCCTGCCGGCTGGATGGCTCCGTTGTGACGTGGGGCGACCCTCGTTGCGGCGGAAACATGGCTGCATCAGCACGAAAACTGCAAGCCTGCCACTTCTACGTACCTGCCTACCTACCTACCTACCTAGCTACCTACCCACCAGCCGACCGACCCACCCGCCTACCTACCTGCCTGCCTACCTACCTACCTACCTACCGGCCTACCGGCCTACCGACTACCGACCTACCGACCTACCGACCTACCGACCTACCTACATGCCAAGGAGACAGCAGCCAAGCGCAGTCGATGCTGAAGGACGTTCAGGACATCTGTGCTGGTGCATACGCCTTCGCTGCTTTGTGCGCTGATGGCACAGCTACTCGGCACGGACGCCCACCGCCCGCCTAATAGACTCTTGATCACTGGCCCATCAACGACGAGTTGGTGGGTCCGACATATCCAGCAGAATGCACAGCAGTCACTAAATGTCTCTCAATTTAGGGCAACAATTAAAAAGGTTTGGCTCTAGGGGCTGGTGTACGAAGATTCGCGTTTCGGGCCAGGGTGTTTCGCTTTTTTGTTGTTGCTGGGATGGGTTCCTTAGAATCCGGTACGTTTCGTACCTGAAATCGGGCTCCAATTTTCAGTTTGCTCTGGCCCAGCGAATCCCTGGTTCCATGTTTTACCAGCTCTCGAACACAAGGTCCCTGGCTGGCAGTGCTAACCCCTACAACCCCACAGGTCCATTCCTGGGGGGAGCCAGCATTCGGCGGAGATAGCTCGGCCCTGCAAGAAGAGTTGATCGACATACAAGACGTGAGCCTTGGCTACTTTTGAAGTCCTTCTAGGCCATGTTCAGGGTTTAGGGTCTGGGCTTCTGGTAGTGCATGGCCGTTCAGTTCGAAAGTTTTCGGTGGAAGAAGGCGTTCAAGCGAGAGTTGCTGCTTACCCAGAGCCGCTTTACAAGTCATGAGCGTTGGGTGCTCAATCGAGTCCGAAGTGACGATAGACAATCAGTCTAGGTTCTCGGGTTGCCCGAAATTCTTGCAGGCTTCAGGCGAAGCCAGTGGTCTTCTACATGCATTCGACCCGATCACAGGGGACCATGGCAAGTTCAGTTTCGAAAAAACACGCAATCCGAGAGTCCCCAGCCCTGGACGGTATGCTAAACACCTTCTTCTGCGAAGTTGCAACACGTTTGCGACCTTGCAGAAAATGCGGGTGTCCGTTTCCAAATTCCTGCAGAGTGAAGAGCTCCAACTCCTCAGATTCCATGCATGTTCCTGAGCCCGGCCTCGTGACACCTCCATGAAATGCAAAGTTCACAGATGATGAACCATTGCGGTCTATAGCAGCATACACGCAACCAGACGCTCTGCCTATTTTGCTCGCTCGTTCTCTCACGGTGTGAGCTTGCTAGCACCAGCCACACGCATGAGCTCCTGGAGACTATACAAGTTGGAGCAACTTGGAACCTCAAGGTCAGCTATGCAGGAGTAGTGAGTAGTGAGTACGATCCCATTTGCGACCCTCCCAAACCACAACTACGCAAGAGCGGTTCAAGAGTAGCGCGCCTTTCGGAGTCCTTGTGACAAAGCTTTAATGGATGAGGCAGGAAGCATTCAAGCCTTTGCAGAAGTGTGCAAAGCCCCGCATAGTACAGACTTGAAGCCCTTATCGCCAGACCCTAAATCCTAAACCGGGACCCGTAACGCCGACTTCCCAAGCCCTAAACTCTTGAACCCAAAGCTAAGCATGTGTTTGAATAAATAGTTAATCAATAAATACATAAATAAATAAATGAATACATAAATAGATAAATAAATACATGAATAAGTAAACATAGAAAACATATATATATATATACATACACACATGTATATATGTATATGGATGCAAGCCTTGAGCGAGGAAGTCCAGCGCTTGCGCTTTCGCAGCCTTGCCCTTCGGCGGCAAGATGTTGGATTTGACCCTACTTGGGATACAGGGTGTAAGTAAGGCTTACAGGTTTGCGGGGTTTGAGGTTTAGTTGAGGGTTTAGGTTTGTGGCTTCGGGTTATGTTGCCTTTACATGTAGATCTCCTTTGTGATTTGCTGTTCTTGCAGCGGAAGTAGAGATTCAGAATGGTTTCGCGGGGTTAGACATGCCGCTGTGGCTGTTCCAGAACCTTCCAAACCCCCAACCCAAGGTCTGAAGATCCAGCACACGCCTTCAAGCACTAAGCCACTCAATCCAAATGCAAAGGCCCCCCTTCACTCCGCCAGCAAGACTCCTCATACACAGCCAAGCATAGGAGCAGAAAGGAGAGGTAGAGTCCAAACCACATACGGCCCCGGACATTCTGCAGCTCAGGAGGTCGGATGGCCGTATCCTCACCTGGGGCGATCCCCGCTGCGGTGGCGACATCGATGGACCCCAGTTTGGCAAGGCGGCAGGGCACTTCTGGTTTACTTTTGGGCAGGGCTCAAGGATGTAAGCCTGAGGGGTGGGGGTCCATCGCATGTAGGCTATTCTTGCCAACCAGGAGCCGGTTCAGCGTTCCCCTTCTGGCCAAGCCTTGCCCGATGCGGCTCGACACAGCCATGCCGCGTTTCACCGAACAGCCTGGGCCTGACAAAAAAGGCGCAAAAAGTTCTGGCCCTGTAGTTCGCAAAGGCTGCAGGGGACAAAGCTTGGGTCGAGCGTTTGGTTGTAAGGAGGTTTGGCACGCTTCGGGGCTGAATGCCTTCATCGCAAAGCCGAGGTTTCAACACAGCCATCAGCGCTTGTGCGGATGTCGGGAGGCTCCATTCCGGCACTAACAACCTTACGAAAGACCTTCAACATCAAGCATTGAAATCCCTTGAAGCCACCATTGTTGGCAACCCGGATTCGGTTCTTTGCTTTTCCTCCTCCGAACTTGCAGACTTGGGTCGCCGCTCCAAAGGGGTCCCTGACGAGTCTCCGATTGACTTGGTTGGTTTCGGAATCCTGGATTAGGCTGTTGGCGCCCACAGTCACTCGTGGAAGATCGAGCCAGTCGCCTTGAGGGTTCAGACTGCTTGGCAGTGTTCTTCGGCTGCAGGATGCAGCATGGCTTCAGTTGAGGGCTGCTCACCAAGAGTTGGAAGCTACGCAGACCCTAACCCCAGCCGGGACAGCGGCGACTCCCGGAAACTTGAAGCTCAAGCCGCTGTAAGCCGAAGCTGCGAATTCAGGTCCAGCCTTCCACCTAGCCCATGTAAACCTCATCACTCTCAAGGCTTATTCTATAGACCAGTTGAAATCACTGAAATCTGAGTCCGCAAAGGTGGGAGCATGCCATCTTGCTTTTGCATGACATGGAGCAGCACTCGTTGGTGCAAGGCCAGACAACTCACCGGGCTTGGAAAGCGCTGTGTTTGATGCTTGTAGTGCTACGCTGAATCTTCTCGATTCCTTAGGGTCGTGCGCCCATCCCCATTCGCTTTTCGGGACTCCACGGTTGTTTTTGTCCCGTACTTCCACTTGTGCATGCACGCAGCTACAAAGGAAGTATAGGGCTCATGGTCCAGACTCGGTGTTCAGGGTTTAGGGTGAGGGGAAAGGTTTCAAAGAAATCAGCCCGTGGTGGAAGTTGCCAGGCACGATGAGCTTTAACGCTGCTTTGAATTCGCTTGTCCGCCAGGGAGGACCGCCGACTCCAATTCTAAAACTGGGTGGACCTTTCGAACATTTTTTATTTTCTTGGGGTTTTGTGGGTTTGACTTGATGCATTCAACCCCAGGTAGCTGTATAGGCTCCCAGCTCTGATTTCAGGTCTTTGGTCTGATTTCAGGTCTTTGGATTTAGTTTAGGAAGGTCTGTGTTTGTTCTTTTCGTTCTTAGGCAGGTTCACAGGTCTCTGGATTTACGGTGGGTTGGAGTCAGGGCAAAGGTCTTGATGTGGTCTTTTACCTTTGGTTTTCGAAGCCTCGCGGCGCAGCTGGCTGGCAGCATCGCGGAGGACGGAGGACAGCCAGTTGGGGAAGTGGGGGTGGGGAGGGGGGAAGTTGGGTCGGCTTAAGGTTTAGGGCTCAGGTCATGGGGGCTTAGCGTTAGGGTTTGGGGATGACGTGGTCAGGGTTTGCAGTGTTTAAAATTTCCTATTTAAAAATATAACCTTATTTTAAAACAAAAACCTTAGCCCTAAACCCCAAACTCCTAAAGCCTGACCGTAGGACTTCAGCGAAAGGCAGCTCGGCCACTCAGCGAGAGCCATGGCTTCAGGTCTGGGCCCTGGGGTTAGGGCTGTTTAAGGGGTAGGTGGGTTAAAGCTTAGGCTTTGTAATAGGGTTGGGGCGCCGGGGTTAGGGTTCACAAGATGTAAGGGTCTCGGGCTTGGGGTCTGTTTAGTTCTTAGACAGGACAACAGGGCTTGAGGTTCAAGGTTTGTCAATTTAGTGTAGGATCTCGGGCTTGGGGCATGTTTGGTTCTTAATCATTATGGGACTTCGTGTTCAGGGCTTGGATTGTATAGGGTCTCGGGCTTGGCTTGTAATGTCTCTTACCTTGTGTTGTATGGCTACGATTTTTTGGTTCTTAGGTCTTCGGCTTTAAAGGGCTTTGGGCTCAGGGCTTTAGTAAGGTTCTTTGTTACTGTAGGTTTAAGGGGATGTCTCAGCTTATTTAGCGCTTGGCATTCAGGGCTAGGGTACTTGTTAAAAGGGTCTTGGGTTGGCTTCAAGGTTAGTCTAGGCCTCCACCCTCACCCTAAGCCCTAAGCCCACGCAAACCTCCTGGAGGACATCGAGGCAGGGGTTCAGGGTTGTTCAGGGTATATGGGTCTGTGTAAGACCCCGGGTTTGGGTTGGGTCTGTGAAAGACCCTGGTCTGTGCAAGACCACCCCGGGGTCACTCGGTCCGCGCACGACCGAGTGGCCCCAGCCCTGTAACTAGTCTAGGCTGCCTCGCTGCCCCTGCCCCTGCCGCTGCCCCTGCTCTGCCTGCCCCTATCCCTAAATTATTAATTAGGTCTAAGCTCTAGGTCTAGGTTAGGGCCGTGCCTCCCCCCTGCTAAACCCAACCCTCAACCCTAAACCCGAACCCTAAACCCTGTCCCTGCCTGCCTGCCTGCCTGCCTGCCTCCCCCACTCCCAATTAGGTCTAAGGTCTAGGTTAGGGCCGTGTTTAGAGCGCAGCTCCAGGGCTAGGTCTTGTAATAGGTTTGGGAGGTCTCCCGGTAGGTCTATGGCAGGGTGGATTTGGGTGAGCTGCTCTAGGGTTGTGTTTAGAAATTCAAGGTGGGGTCTGGGCAAGACACACCGACCAATCTTGGGTCTGCGCAAGACCCGCTATAGGACTACCTATTTTAGACTATTGTCTACATGTCTCATTTTCTACTATTGTCTACATGTCTCTTTCATTGTAGATCCTCTGGTCATGTTGCATTTAACTAGGTCCTTGTCTTTGCACTACTATGTGTTGTGAATTATGTATGTAGTTAGTTAACATGTTGCGTGTCACCATGTCTTGTTGTAACGTGTATCGCATGGTAATTCATTGTTAGTGTTGAGGTATATGATTAAAATGCCTTTGTCTTTTTCATGTGTGGACTACTTGACAGAATTACCATCATAGTACATATGCAACATTGACTGAAGTCTTTAGGCGTAGCCTACTAGGGTCTCTATTGTATCAAGCGTCTTTTTGTTTAAGGTCGCTTGTATTATAGTGTACCATAGTTTACTACTACATTGTATGATTGTAGGGTTCCGTCGTGTTATCGTGCATCTACTACACTGTACCATAATTAATGCTAGACTAGACTGGTGACATCATTAGAATCCGCATGTTACTCCATGCTCCACTACAACCCCTGCTATTCAGTACGGTCTTAGACTAAACCCCTGCTATTCAGCAAGGTCTTAGACTATAATATTAAATTATTCATTGCATCATAGCCAATACCAGACGTTATGTTGTCATGTGTGGCAATACCTGTCTGTTGTATGCTCTACTAGACAGTCTAGTTCGACATGTATCGTATATCACACCATACTTTGTGTTGTCACTAGGCCGTGTAGTCAGTTAGCTGTGTTGTATTTCGCATTGTGCTGTTCAATTCTAGATGCATGCAACATACAATGTCTAACCTACGCTATCGTCTCCGTCTTACTTGACTATGCAATGTCTTGGAGGTACAGCAACCCTGCATTGCATTATGCGGTTTATCCCTGTTTGTGGTCTATTGTCTACCACGGTCCCTTTCATAGACGGTCTTTCGCTGAGGCAGCATGTCTCATGTGCTACCCCGCCTTGGCCATGGAGGTTCCTTTATTTGT